TTTTCCTATACACTTAACTCACAACACTGAGACCATATTTCAATGATTTTTTTATTGTCATTCAGAATAGCAAAACCCTATTTATTTACTCTACCTGGTTTAATGAGTCTGACCTACTTTCTTCAGGAAAAAAAAAAAGAGAATGAAGCTCTCTCCCTATATTTTCCCTTCTTTGGTAAGTGGCTGTAATGATTCTTTATTCAACTCTGCCTGTTACCTGTATAATATTTGATCACCTCCTTTAAAGGTTTTATTTACTTGTTTGCCATTTTCTGGCTTTCATTATCTATTTGGGAATTATATGTAAAAAAAAACAACAAAAAACCATGCACACATACACACAAAAAATCTTCAACACAGTCAAATAATTGCAGCAACCATTTTTTGAGCAAGTCTTATAGAAGTCATGCACTGTGTCAAGTACTTTACATACATTTCTTCATTTAATTCTTAAAATCTTACACAGCCAATATTTCTATTTTATGAATAAATAAAACTGAACCTCAACCACACAACTAGTTGATGACATAACTGGGAATTAAATTTAGGAATACAGAGCATCAAAACTTGTGCCCCATACATATCATAAATTTTTTGCTATCAGCAACAGACCCTATTCTGAATGTTTTACTAAGGTACTTCATGCAACAAATACAAGTGCCTACTACCTATCTTCGAAATTTCTGTAGATATATACTTTTAACAGCCTGAAGCTGGAAAGCTGCACACTATGCACTTTTTTTTCCTTTACTTCCTCTCATTAAATGTCAAACTTAACCATGTTATGATTATTATCAGCTAGTGGTTCAGCCGCAGTCATTTCCTGCCCCAGTTCCTGTTCAGTACTCAGAATGAAGTCCAGCATATTTTCTTTCCTAGCCCTAAAACTACCTGTTCTAGGAAGCAGTCAGTTGTTCTCATCTGAAAATTCACCTCTGTATTTTGTGTCATTTTAGCCATTTGCATGAGGCTAACATGCTAGATGAAAAATATAGCTTTCCTAAATGTCATCTAATATTTTCAACTTATGAACATATGATTCTGGTCATCAAGTGACTTTTCACATTTATAAATTCAGTGTATTTATGGTTATCTGGTAAACTGAGAGGAAGATTTAAACATGATACTTTTTCTCTGATTTTCAGGGCAGTCCCAACTTAAAACACTGTCCCACTATCACATCTCAAGTTGGAGTTAAGACAGTAAAGATATATGCAAAGGGGAGTTTGCAATATTGACTCCATGCAGATACAGACTAGGTAAAGGGGTTAAGGCATGGCAACCGTCACTGTGAGATTTTTCTTTTATAAACAATCCCAAAATATGTTCCACAAATTAAGTGCAAATGCCTCTAATAGTGTTTCTTAGTCTTCTTTCACAGCTTAGAATGAAATATGTCAATAAAATAATGGAATAGTTGCTTAGCTGGACATGTTTGGAAATGGAGTTTTAACTGCACTGGGAAAATAAGTATTGGAAGGTAAATATTAAATAAAAATGTAACAATGGACAAAGCGTTCAAGTTTTCCTATAACTTTAGTATCTAAGTATGCAATTTCCAACCATCGAAATTGGGCAGTACTCACTTTGCCCAGCCATATTTATACACAATTACCATTTAAAGTTGGCCTTCACAAATACTTTTTATACAAAGTCACAATCACAGTCATGTGTCCCTTTACGATGGACATAAGTTCTAAGAAATGCATCGCTAGGCAATTTGTATGAACAACATACAGCATAGTTACAAACCTAGATGGTATAGCCTACTACACAGGATGTATGGTATAGCCTATGGCTCCCAAGCTACCCTATCTTTTATATGTATGGTCCACAGCTGCCCAAAACGTCTTTATGCAGCGCATGACTGTACCTACTGTTCTCTCAGCAATTCACATTCCTGTTCTGAGGCTGTGCCTCCTCCTGCTCTGTGTGGAATGTTGTCATTCACCATCTATGAAAACTACCTTTAAGCCTTTAAGGCTCCTGCCTGAACCTCCCCATCCCTTCTCTCTCTCATAATTATTTGCTCTTCTTTATTCAGTGTTTGCCATGCACCAGTACCTTTCATATTTTATTTAATGCTTAATAATCCCTCTGAAGTATCATCCTTTCCACTAAACAGATAAGGAAACTGACACTGAGAGAGGTTTGGTGTCATATTCAATGTCACAAAGCCCAACAGGGATTTAAATTTTAGTCTGTCTGTCTTTTTAATTGAATTCACTTTGCACGAAACCACATACACTACAGTACCCTTTGTTCAAATATCTATCTCCCCCACTAAATGAAAGACAGCAGACTCCTTCATCCCTATTATCCTCAGCAACACGCAACAGTGTCTATTACACAATGATCTCAAAGTGTTACTGAGTATGTACAATACTGGATTCAGTTTACGGTTTCGCATTATTGTTTTAATTAGCCTCTTTCCACCAAGTCTCTAAGAAGCCAATTTTATTGTGGTGGCAAAGTATATCTTGGAATGTTGACTTTGGAATCAGATTGCTTGGATGTAAATCCCACTTCCACCAACTCATTAGTGGAGAAATCTTGAACACAGGAGTTAACCTAAGTCTTGGTTAACTCATCCATAAAGCAGGAAGGACAGTAATCACAGTACCTACCTCAGAGGATTATAAGGATTAAATGAGATAACATATAAGGAGTCCAACCCTTTTTGACCCTCATTTTTGCCACATGCCACCCTAAATTCTCTTTGGATCAGTATAGTGAAGCCTTTTCCATTACAAATTCCTTGCAATTTTCCATTAAATGGACTAGCCAAAAAGGTCCCTGGTTTAAAAATTGCTCAGGCCACCTTTTTTATTTTCAGGGCCACCTAGCCAGTGCCAGTTTGGGCTCAAAAAAAGTTTATTCTTGGAGGCTTAACTATCCAAGAGTGCCCCTGTTGTACACTATACTTGATTTGCTTGATTTGCTTTTTTCAGCTCTACCAGAAAGTGGTGAAAATTAGAACACAGACACTCCCCACCTCACTAACACCCAACTTAATACTATCTGATGCATGCTGACAACTAACCTCTGTGGGAGGCAAGCTATTTCCAGAGCAAAAAATTTTCCTGGAACCACCTTGTTTTTGGTCCCAGACATGGCTCATTCTTCTCAGACCTCCAGATTCCTTTTCTCTGCTGAGCCACTACAACTGGCAAGGCATACCCATTTCCTTCTCTTAAATAGCAGCCTGAACTCCAAATCCAAGTTAGGATTTCAATTTGTTCTACAACTATTTTACAACTCTAGGCTAAACTGCTTAAGTCTCCAAATTCTGAGAATTCCCCTTCCAATACTAAAACTGTGAAAAAAGTTCAGCTTTGGAGAAAACAAATTTTACAAAAAATCTACGAACAACATCAAATACTAACTCTCTTGCCAAAGTCTCAGAGGAAAAAAAAAGGAAAGAAACATTTTTAAATGTTTGGTGAAAGCTAACCAAAAAACTATAAAAAGTATCACACATAAGAAAGTAATTTCAAAGTAAGCAGGATATACCATTAACAAAGAAAACAACTGTAAATTACAAAACATTTAATACATACACCATAAATTTCATAATTACTTGGCATGTAAAGTACATATGGAGATTGGTAAATATTGTTCCAGATTCTGTACTTCCCTGGTTAGTATATGTTAATATAAAGCAGTTCCTTATTTTTGCCAAATTAAAAATAAAAATAGTGACAGATTGGTGACAGAAAGAGCCCTGAAACTTCAGGGAGGTGTTAAATTAGAAAGCCATGACTCGAAAGAAGAATACCAAACATTAGCTGTCAACGTTAAGCAGATAAAAATAGAAAAAGGTGAAGCATGCTGATGGACCACAGTATTGTTTCCAGATGGGAAATATCCCTTAGGATCCATGCACAGGTTTCAGCACCCTCTCGGCAGTGTTGGAATCAGAAAACTAAATTGTTGCCTGCTCAGCGGGTGCAGAGCAGCGACCCTCCTTCCCAGGCTGCGTCCAGCCGCCCCCTTCTCTCCAGCCCGCTCCTCCCGCCGCTAGCTGACCTCTCCCCGCCGGCCACGGCTCGGCCACACGATGCCCCTGCACGCCTTCCCAGGACGGACGACCCCCACCCCCACACAGCGCCAAGGGAAGGAAGCGGAGAAGGGCCTGGGGAGAGAGCAGAGGGGCTGGTGCGGCGGCACCAGTGCGGGCGGCGGCGCTGGGCTTCGGCCCGTCACCATCAAGGCTTGAGGACCGCAGGGGCTCCGGAGGAGCGAAGCTCAGTCTCGGCCAACCGCCAAAAGATGGGACGGGGTCGCGGCTCATCCGGGCCCACAGGTGCCGGAGGCTGCCAGGGAAGTCACTGACGGTGGAGGGCGACGCGCTGGACCCGGAGCCCCGACCTCCATCCCACCGGCCGCTTTCTTCCCTCGTCCTGATCTATCCTCGGGATTCTGTCAGAACCCGACGATCTACTCACGGCCCGCCCGAACACGGAGGTGATGCCGCTCTTACCGTAGAAGCGGGCGCCGAGCCGCTAGGAGGCGGCTGGGTGCACGCGGGAGACACCGAGGCTAGTGCCGCCGCCGCAGCCGCCGCAGGAGCCGGAGAAGCTACAGCGCAGGCGCGCTGCCTCCAGAGAGTCGGCCTACACCCCTCCCGCAGGATTTTGCGCCAACAGCCTGCAGTCTCCAAGCGCTCGCGGGGAGGGCGGGGCATCCCTCGGGGGCGGAGCCGAGCGCTGGCTGATCTGATTGGCATCTGTGGCCACAATGGGACCACGGAAACTCCACGCTGAGCTTAGGACTGACTTTCCTCTTAACCAGTGGCAGTAGAGAGGCGACCCACTGGGTTCTCTTACTGCCGCCTTTTTGTCGAACCTGAATGTGAGGAAAGGTCGGTTGGTTTGCACTGGCGGCCAAATAGTCCAATTACCGCGGGGGAGAGGGGCCTCTGCACCCAGATTGGCGTCCTCTGTACCTATAGGGTAGGCCCAGGGGCGGTGACAACCAGCCCCGGATGTGGGCGCGGCCCTAAGGTAGAACTGAGGAAGCCTCTGCCGCTGTCTCTTAGAGTGGCGGAACTGAGGTTTTTTCTTAATTATGTGACGGGTTTGGGATTTAATGGGGGAAAAAGTGTGGAAAAGAACAAGGACCCAAACTGGCGAATTTCTTGGTCTTCGAGCCCCTCTCCGCTCTCCGGCCAGCGGCGCTGCCAGGTGAGTCCGCTTTCGGGCCCTCGCCCCACCGTGCCTGGGCTCTGGCCTCTTGATGCCTGCATGGGCTCTGCGGCCGACTCCCTGCCCCAAATGCACACACACCTACTTGGCACCAGGGCTTCTGTGTGCATCGTCCAAGAGCTGCGTTAAATTCCAAAATATGCTGGGCCCGCAGTCCAGAATGGGGGGAGTCCGGGCAGGCTCCACGAGACGACTGTCGGCGTTTGCAGAGGAAGGGGCAAGGATAGTTTAGGAGCCTCCTGAAGTTCAGGGACAAGTAGGCCCGAAAATTAGCCAGGTTGTAAGCAGAACGCTACTCATTTGAAGGACAGTTAAGTTGGCCAAGGCTGTTGTAGCACGGGCCTTTCAAAAGCGACTCATTATAAAGAGGAATTTGTGTGGGCTCATTAAGCAAAACTGTCTTTGAGATGAGGGGAGTTCGCTTGGAAGAGACTGGCAGTAGCGAGAGAAGGAAATGGGGGTGGTGTGGGAAGCACCGTGGACAAATTAATAAATCCGCACACAGCTTATACAGACACAGGTGATGTGGATAGGGCCCTTTGGTTTCTATATGGTAAAATTCCAAAGGTTTTAACAATGTTTAAAGAGTCATGTGAAGATATACTTAACTGTCTTCTAGGTACCACCTTAAATGGGAAATAGGAGGATAATTCAAAAAGTTTATGGAAAGATTCGTATTATCTTTTAATTCTATTTTTTCACGATCTTTTATTTGAGCAAATTTTTGGTTTGGGGTACGCACCTCCCCCTCCCTTGAGACGAAAAAGAGAGTAATAGGAAACAAATACGACTGCTTAAATTAATGAAGATGTCAGTGTAAAATTGGGGTCGTATGTCATCGTTTGTGGCTAGTTATACACAATCCTTCAAGCGTCACTTATGTATAAGCAGAGTGTTTTCCTGTTAAGGGTATTTTCCTGCAAGTACATAAAGACCTTTTTGCATCCTACATCATAAAGCTTGCAACCACAATAAGATTATATTCTTTGCATCCTTTTACCTCCAGTCCTAAAGTACCTGTGGTGAGTGCAGTCACCCTTCCCATGACCAGTTGCTATTCAGTCCTGTATTAGAAAAAAATAGCTTTTCTCATCTGATGGCAGATGAAAAAGTTATGTTTAAGCAAGTGTATTACCACAAATCTTTCTTTAAAGGTTCACAAAAACGGCCAGATAGATTGGAGATTAGGACTGAGCAAATATAATTTACAGGATGAAATCCATTCATAGTTATTAATCAGCACATACATCTCCAAACCCTCCTTCCAAATTCAGTCCCACTCACACTGTATGGCAGCCTCTGACCAGGAAAGGAAACCAGCACAGAAAATGCCTTCCTGGGAGCAAAAGTACTCACTGTGAAGCATCTGTCAACTAAGTAAACAAGTGCAAGTAAAAGGGGAAAGAGGTGAGTTAGCAGACTCATACCTAACTATTGAAATAAAACAGATGTTGTACTCTTGCACCATGATAGCCACCCACTATTTAAAGCAGTAGAGGTGTTGCAAAGTACATCAAAGTTAGTTCTAAAATATAACTAATTGAACATGCTAGTTTAGGGTATTTGCTTCATCTAGCCAGTTCCTTCACCTTTTCCTTGTTTATCTTCCTGCATCTTTATTCCTACGACCCATGCTTTTGTTCCTATCCCTACCACCTTCTTATCTTTTTGTCTTTCCATCAAGCATCCTCTCTTATCTCCAGTCTTTCATTCCCCAGTGGCTTATTTCTCTTACCTTATATCATACTTAGATTCTTCCTTCCCTGAAAATTTCTTCTTGTCCATTTCTCAATCTTTTATGTCTTATCTTTCATTTTCTCTTCTCCAAATGTCTCAAGGGAATAAAACATTCTCAACTGTTTTCATTATCTGTTAATTACCATTTTTCACAAGGTTGGTATACAAAAATAAGTGGAGAAACATACTGTAAACCTATATGTGAAGATTAAATAAATGTTTATAACTAAGCTAAGTTATAAATTAATACATTTCCAATCAGAATTCCGAGTTTTTAAGAATTAGCTTAGTGATTTTAGCACTGAAAAAATGAAAACGCAAAATAGATAATATGGGAAAGAAAGCAGTGAGTAGTTACCGGGCTTCCCAGATATTAGGGCGTATCCTAGAGCAAAAGTAAGTCATATTATTAGTGAAAAACAGAAATATATTGATCAGTGAGACAGGACAGTAATGTAAAAAACAGCCCAAATTACAGAATAATTTAGCATCTTATAATCATAAAACATCAAAAGTTTATTAAGTGGTTTCAATTATTGATTGGATAGCAAGTAGTAAAAATAATGACGACTTATATCTCATACCAAAAGAAATAATTTTAAAAGGAAAAAAAATCTTAGACCAACAAAATAGATATTTATAAGAATTTTAGTGAGAAAATGATTTAAAAATATAAGATTCATAAATATATGAAAATTCATTGTTTTCAATGCCTTCTATATTATTTAGCCCAATGAACTCTTTACAATCTTAATTCTACTTGATGTCCTTGCAATCTTTCTTAACCATTCCCTCCTTATACTCTCTTGACTAGATACCACCACCTCCTCTTTCACTACTTTATCTCGAACACTTTTTCTTAGTATCCCTTGAAATTGAATGAAACATTATAGATTTGCATTGTACAAGGAGGTTAAGAACATCCCTCGGGTACAGGAATAAAGTCATAAGTGCCTGGACTTGAGTGATAGCATTGGAAAGGGACAGACTGTTCTCGAGACATTTTGAATAGAACTTATACGCAACGGATATCTAAAAACTTTATTGTACTTTGTCATGGGCTGTAGGGACTGATGAATATAATGTTGTCAATGACTGATATTAGTTTTAGAGGTTTTAGAAGAATGGTAAAATGTTTTCAAAATTAGGAAATCTGTGAATGGGAAAGAGCCACCTTTGTTTGCTAGGAATGGATGTGATTTTTTTTTTCTTGTTACAAAACAATCTTGACATTTTTTCCTTTCTTAGGATATATTTTCCCTTTTTCGACTCTGCAACAGCCTCTTTAACCTGTTTAAATGAGAATGTCCTTGGCTCAGAGAGTACTACTCACCTGGCTTTTCACATTACTCTTCTTGATCATGTTGGTGTTGAAACTGGATGAGAAGGCACCTTGGAACTGGTTCCTCATATTTATTCCAGTCTGGATATTTGATACTATCCTTCTTGTCATGCTGATTGTGAAAATGGCTGGGCGGTGTAAGTCTGGCTTTGACCCTCGACATGGATCACATAATATTAAAAAAAAAGCCTGGTACCTCATTGCAATGTTACTTAAATTAGCCTTCTGCCTCGCGCTGTGTGCTAAACTGGAACAGTTTACTACGATGAATCTGTCCTATGTCTTCATTCCTTTATGGGCCTTACTGGCTGGGGCTTTAACAGAACTTGGATATAACGTCTTTTTTGTGAGAGACTGACTTCTAAATACATCATCTCATTTCTACTCCTGTTCAAGAAGCTATCATTAAAGTATTCTGAATCTTTGCAAGCTTCAAGAACACTAGTGAACTGAGGGAAAATACCAAATGTAGTTTTATACTGTTCTATAAAACGGGATTGGTGAATCATGGACTTTTAAGTCAACCAAAAGCTTAATTATTCAGTATTTCAGTTACTAATATCCTTATTATTCCTATGTAAATAAAGTTTGCTTTGGACCTCATTTTTCTACATGACTCGTGAATAATCTGTAGTAAGTATGTAGTCAATATTTAAGGTAAGTAAATACAAAGCCTTTAATGTGTATATTTGGATAGAAATTTAATATATCATGGATTTATTATGACCAAAGTAAATGGCCATTGTGCTTCTAAATTATGAAGGAAAAAAACCTAGTTACTGAAATAGGGGTGCCATGCCATGTTTTCATTCAGAAAGAATCTGAAAGTTTGACAGATTTTTGTCTAGGCTACATTCACTGTTACTTCTACCTTCTGTTTGAGACAAATGAATTAGAGGTGACATGTTAAAACAGAGCAGAAGCTTCTCTCTTCATAAAATTAGGGGGACCTGGCATTCTGGTTCCATCAGGATAGGCCCAATTTATGCCTGTTGTCATGGGATCCAAGTGTCGGTGACCCGTTTGCTCTTAGGAGTGTCCTGGTTTGAGAAATTACATGATCACCCTTCCAAGGTACTTAACCAATTCCAATGAAGCAGAGGTTGCAATTTGTATAAAAATTCCAAAAAGTTGGGGCCAGCCCGGTGGCGCACTGCTACAGTGCGCCGCTTGGGAGTGTGGTGGTGCTCCCGCCGAGGGTTCGGATCCCACATACAGACCGGTTCCCGCTCACTGGCTGAGCGAGGTGCGGAAGCAATACTGAGGGTTGCGATCCCGTTGCCGGTCCCGGTCCAGTACGGGCGCGACACTGAGGGTTGCGATCCATTGCCAGACACGAAAAAAGACAAAAAGGAAAAAAAAATAAAAAAAAAGACTGTGAGATTCATTTTCAGTGATTTTTTTCTTTTATATAAACTATTCATTAAAATCTGTGATTTTTTTGATTGAGTGCCAATAATAATTGTAACAATAACTCAATCCAAGGGAAGTTTTTTGTTTGTTTTGTTTGTTCTTCTGTGTTTTTGTTTGTGTGTTTGTTTTATACAGAACCATATGGTTACTGGGTAAAATTTAGATTTACACATTTATTTTTTCAGAGGCTAAAAGGCTGAAGTGTCTTATACCCCCAAAGCAGGATGATTATTCTTACCCTATGCAGCCCTCACTTTTAGCTCTGGGAGAAATCTAAAGTGGTATTTTGTTCTGTTTTAAAAAGATCTAACAAAGTGATTTCTGGCTGCTAATATAGAAGTTTGCTTTATTATAGCATCTTGGTATAGTTCTGTGAATGGGAAAAACACTCGTTCCATTTCTTAATAACCATCTGAAGATTTCTACCCTGCTAGGATGAGTTCCATAAACCTCCCCTTTCTTTCTCCTCTTAGTTTTACCCCATCAATGTTTTCTTTATTCACCTTATTTCTTAATAACTTTAAAATTTTCCACACTCCTGGGATGAGTTCTTTGACTCTCTGCCTTTCACCATTCTCTTGTTAATTATTCTGATATTTCTGTTAGTATCTGTAAGACCATGAGCAGAAGCTGGGAGAACAAATTAATAAGGCTTCCCAGTTTTTTTATTTTGCAGCAGTAAGTTTATATGGAGTGCCCATATAAATGGGGCCCCTTTAACTACAGCATTTACCATAACCTGGAAAAAGGGCATATTTAGTGAGTGGATATCCCTATAATCATAAAGCCAGTTCCACATGGCTTGCACACGAAGCATATCAGCTGCTTCATCTGGGGTGCTCCCCTTGGCATTTATAGGGGGGAGTTGAGCAGTCCCCCTTCTCAGGGTAAACAGACCTTACAGTGGCTTTTATCCAGTTCACCAGGCTGGCTTTTCCCTTGGGAATAACCAATCTCCTGTGTGTCTGGATCATTTATAGCCTTCTGTGATTGCTCCATAGTAAGTTGTAGGTCTTTCATCAACCCAAACATATTTTTTCACTCTGTAGCATTTAAAACCAAAGGTATTGCTCCTAAATTATTCTCACGATCCATTTTAGTAAAGGTTCCTCAGGGAGCTGATGATACTGATCCACAAAATGAGACAATTCCTTCACACTGTACCCTCTAGTTTCAATGGATTCTTGGTTTTGCCTTTCCTCCACATTGACTACCTTCTTGGTAACCAAAGGTCTAAGAGGTACTCTCTCTTTTCCCTGCATAATTTTCCCTTTTGTGAGTGGCTTTGAAGATAGTGGCCTAAGCTCAGACAGACCAATATCTGAGCTTGGCCCATCCTCAAGGCCAAACCTAGCACTCTCTTTCACTTTCACTTTAGCTATTACCAACAACAATAACCAAGAGATTGTATATTTAGCATATTGATTATTTTGCATTTCCTTGCATATCCAGTGAGCCAACTCTTTAGGAGTCGGGTCTACTACCATCTCTGAATTCCATTGGTAACTTTTACCATTAGTAACTGATTGCAGCATGGCTGCCACTCCATACCATGAGTGACCATGTGGCCACCCAGGAATCAAAGGCTCCTCATTCCTTGCCCATATATCCTTTTTCTTCCCAAACCACATGTTTCCGTGAGCCAGGGCCACTCTATCAAATGTCTGGAGATTTCTCCCCACTAGCAAGCAAGCGATTCTCCAGTGGATACCACCCGGGTGTCCTTTAATTTAGTTGACACTGTCTACCTGGAGATAGCAGATTCCACAGGTTGAGGGCTCAGTCCCCAAAACTACCCCTCCCCTCTTCAGATGCCAGTTGCAAGTCCAGGCCTCTGGAACTTTTAACCAACCAGCTATAATCTGGGTTTCAACAACTCCTTCCTTGGGTTCAATTAGTTTGCTCAAGCAGCTCATAGAACTCAGAGAAACACGTGCTTATGTTTACCAGTGTATTATAAAGGATACAACAAAGGGATACAGATGAAAAGATGTATAGGGCAAGATATAGGCAAAGGGATACAGAGCTTCCATGCCCTCCCTGGGCGTGCCACCCTCCAGGAACTTCCACCTGTTCAGCTATCCAGAAGCTCTCCAAACCCAGTTTTCTTGGGTTTTTATGGAAGCTTCATTACACAGGCATGATTAAAGCATGGATGACCATGTAGAAATGTGATTGGACAAAAAGGGTATGATCTAACACTGACAGACTGGGTGGGGAAACCCAACAAGACCTGTTTGTTCAGGTTCTTCTTGGCTTCTCTGTGCTGCATTCCTTCCTCCCAAGTTTGGGGCAGGGACCCTCCTGAAGGGAGGTAGGTCAGAGAATTTCCTTCCTTGGTGAGAAAAAGGAGCCGGTAAAAGGAGACTAGGAGAAGGAAGAGTAGCATGAGCCAGGAACTATGGACAAAAACCTATATATATATATATACACGCACATATAAAGTATCTCACTTTTAAAGACAGATAACATGTTTCAGCCACAACACCACAAATTAATACAGCTGAACTCCTTGTTAGGCATTTGAAACTAAAGAGCTAGGCTTTTTTTTTTTTTTTTTTTTTAAAGAAAAAAAAAAAAAGATTGATCATTGATCAGTTGCAAATGTTTCCCTGTCTTACAGTTGGTAATATGTTTATATTTTGGGCATCTAAACATAGGACTGAGGGGCCGGCCCGGTGGCGCACTGCGCTGGTGCGCCGCTTGGGAAGCGCGGAGGCGCTCCCACCGAGGGTTCGGATCCCACATACAGACCGGTTCCCGCTCACTGGCTGAGCGAGGCGCGGGGGCAGCACCGAGGGTTGCGATCCCGTTGCCGGTCCCGGTCCGGTACGGGGGCGACACTGAGGGTTGCGATCCGTCGCCGGACACGCAAAAAGACAAAAAAATAAAAATTAAAAAAAATAAATAAATAAACATAGGACTGAGAAGGACAGTTAATATTGGGAACTAAATGTTCCAGGCTTGATTAGATATTCTTAATTCACCTCCGACATGCAAACAATTTGGTCTCTGGACACTATCATTAAATAAATTCAAAGTAGAGGAAAGCTTTCATCCTTCTAAGAAACCAGCCAGGAGGATTTTATAGTTCAGGAAAAACTGTTCATGCAAGTATTATCTAAGAATAATTTCTCACAGGGAAAAGGAAAAGAAGGGACCATACCACTGGCAAACAATCAGCTAGGCCAGAAGTCAGCAAAATTTTTCTATAAATGGCCATATAGTAAATATTTAAGATTTGCAAGCCATATGGTTTCTGTTGCAACTATTCAACTCAGCCCTTGTGGCAGAGAAAGCAACCATAGACCATGGCTGTGTTCCAATAAAACTTTATTTATAGACATAAAATTTTAATTTCATATAATTTTTCACATATCACAAAATATCATTCTTCTGATTTTTGTTTCAACCATTTAGAACTATAAAAACCATTCTTACCTCTCAGGCAGTACAAAAACAGGTGGTGGGCTAGATATGGCCTGTGGGTGGTAGTTTGCTGACCCCTGAGCTAAGCCATAAAACAAGTAAAAGAAATTCTGTATGAGATTGCTAAGAGGAAAGGTGGAACAGGCCTCTTCCTCCACCAAACACTTCTAACAACAAGGAAGGAAGAGAATAATTGGGTAAGAATTATATGTACAAGGCAATACAATAACCAACCTATTTACATATGAGGATCAATCGATTTTAATTGCATCTGAGAGGTTCCCAAAAAGTAGGACACTCTTAATTTGGTATACTGCCACACTAAATAAACACTTGAAGTAGCACAACAGGTTATCATTTATGTGTGAGCCTCAGTAGTTAGAATACAAGTAATGAAAGACATTAAAGATAGAAATTATGCTTACAGATGGAAAAAACAAATGGAATAATACATAAACAATTAGTATTGCAGAAAAATACTTGCCTAGGTTTGTTTTCAGTTATAGGATACTTCCTTTATAACAGATGTTTACTAATGGTGTTTATAAGGATAAATACATACTGTACCAAGAAAGAACTTAAACATCAAAGGCTCTTACTGAAGCCATTATTTTCCAGGTCAGCACGGACATTTAATCTGGTTTGGGCAAAAGATTTGTTATAAATTTTGAGTAAAAGCAACTTGTGAACAAAATAACTTTTTATAAGACTTGAAAATATGAAAAGGAGAAAAGAGATATTCAAAGGATCCACAACTTATT